AGAGAGATTAGTTTGTCTGTATCCTTTTTCACTATTTTAATTAAATTTATATTTTTGCATTTAGTGTTAGGTAAAATCCAAGAACTAAATGAAAGATAGACAACATGTGTAAAAAAGAAGACAGTATTTAAAAATGATGGTAGCCAATATGACAATGGGAACCAAAATGTCACTGATGTAATTAATTGTACAAAAATTCCCCTGCTAGAAATCAATAAATGGTTTATTTTTTATTTAATTAATTATTCAATAACAAAATCTGATATGGCTGTTGACTTTATTTAATTATTATATATTTTATATGTATATATGCTAAAATTTTATTTGTTTTTTCGAAAATCATAATCCTTTAATAAGAGCATTAGCAATAAGAACAATGGGTTGTATAAGCGTTGAAAAGGTGGTAGATGCTTTGGTTGATCCATTAAGGCATTCTTTACAAGATCAGTATCAATATGTAAGAAAAACTGCTGCAATCACAGTATCAAAATTACATTTGTATGATGAATCGTTTGTAGGAAATGAAGGATTTATGGATATGTTCCTTTAGAAATGGGAGACGCAGAAATATTGGCCGAGAGCGTATTACACCAAGACTACAACATATCAATTCTAGTTTAGTGCTAATTGCAGTAAAAGTTATCATGTATTTAATAAATGACATGATTAAAGAATATGACATTACAAATATGTGTAATCCCTCCTTGGATAAAAAAATTTTTTTTAATTTATTATTTATATATGTTTATATCTTACAAAAAAAAACCTCATATATGATTTATTAGTGACATCATTTTCAAGTGAGCCAGAAGTTCAGTATGTGACACTTTGTAATATACTATTAATTATTCAAATAAGACCAGATGTATTGAGAAATAATATTAAGGTATTTTTTTGTGACAATATTGAATCAAGTTAAAAATATTTATTATTTTAAATCTATTATCATTAATTAATATTAATAGATACACAACTGAAATTTTGTTAAGAAAGTTATAAGATCAATTGGCCAATCGGTTGTGAAAATTCTACAGCAGAACTTTTCATAGCAGTTTTACTAGAAATTTATCCAAAAAAAGTTAATTACGTTTTATCATTGTCATAAAGGTGTATCTTAGCTGATTCCAAAGCTAGATGGTTTTATTCTGTCTCTTCTTATGGTTATTATTTTAAAATTTTTATGTAAAGTTACAAGAAAGAATAATAATAAGGTTTTAAACAAAATTCCTCTTTTTTAGTTTTTGAAGTCTGGGTGATTTTTTCAAACTCTTTGTTGATTGATTATTAAAATATAAATAATTATCTATTCCTATGATATTTATTTAAATTTTTTTAATCAAACTACAACAACACAAACCATTATCACTAGTAACAACACTGCCAATAAAAGTGAAAAAACAACACACCACCCACGAAACTTCAATTAATAAAAAAAATATATATCAAGAGATTCAAATATTTGAACCTGAAATAATAAAGTAGATAAATTCTACTCCTCTCTATGTTTAATTCTCTATTTGTGCAGTGCAATTCTTTGCGGACCAATTAGAGTTGCCATTCAATAGATCCCGTGATCTAAATATCCTTTAGCTCATCCAAAAATAGAAGAAATATATGTATAACCAAAAATAAATCATAGAATTAAAGCTAAGACCTTTATCTACAACTATGATTTATTTTTGGTTATACATACATTTCTATTTTTGGAAGAGTTAAAGGATATACAGCCAATAAAAGTTCAGTGCTAAGTGACTTGCACTATTTGAATGTAGTTTTCACACAATAGCTCAGGAAGGTTGTGTATATAAATTTTAATGATTTCTAGAACTTTTTTAATTTTAAAAAAGCAAAGTCGATTTAAAACTTTTTTATCAATAAAACTAGTGAGTGTTGACAATGATTAATTGTTTTAGTGAGTAAGCAAGAGTAATGGGTGTTATTGTATTCTTAATCAAAAACACAGGCAATTGGCACAAATAACAATAAACATTTGTAAATAAATAAATAAAACATAACTTTATAGAGGCCTTGAACTTTGTAAAAAGACCATCTTTATTCATTCACAATACCCTGCCTGTATCATCATTGAGTGCTTACAGATTATCTGAAGCTTTTCAGGTACAAGGAAGCAAGAGTAGAAGTAAATTCGTAAACTAATTAATTGACATGTATCAAATTTCTTGTAATTAATTGACAATAATAGCCAAAAACCAAGCCATAATTGGTCATAGTTGTCAATACTTGTTAATTGGTGTTAATGAAAAGATCACCTTGCGATATTCCCTTAGTCTATGTTCTGCCTGCTTTCTGACAAAAATTTGTTTTTTAAAAAGCATAAGATGCATTCGTTATCCTGAGATGTCTTCTTGCAGTGGCCACCCATTTTCTCCAAAGGAAGGTAAATTGCAAAATTGTCACAATTGAGGTTCTCTTACATTCCTTTCAAATTATTTCAATTTCTTCATTACTAGTATTCTTTATCCTAATACTAATACCAATTCTATAATCCATTGCTACATATATTCCCAATGGCTTTAAAGAGGTTTAAATCCCTTAATTAATTCATATCAAATTACTGGATTGACAAAAATCCACAGACAATTTTCTTTGATAAACAATGAAGTTGTTATTTAATATATATTATTTTATAATTTTAAATAAATTAAAATTGCATCGCCCCGAGTAATGATAATACTAAGATCATGCATGCGGCAATGAAATTTTTTTTAGCAGTGTTGGAAAATAAAACTCTTGATGTTTTTGTTAAAATTTAATCTGGGCATCCTTTCCATGTATAATGAAAGTTCCATCACCTTGCCGTCCAAGAGGTAATGGTCGTCGAGTCTCCGCTTGGTACTCTGGGATCTCTGTCATGATCGTATTAAATTTCTTTTCCAAAAATCCAACATATTAAAATTTTATCAGAGCTACCTTCCCATGTAGCATGAAAGTTTTATTATCTCGAGTGGTCTAATCTCTGTAGCCCAGTTCTGGTTGTAAAGTTCCTTTAGTCATTTCCGAAAAATAAAATAAATAAATAAATTCAATGTATCAAACGGATTTAATTCAATCGTCTTTATTACACAAGCCTCTGTGTCCTGCGCTATGTACCTGACACAGGAGAGACCCATAACGCATAGGCGAGACTGTTTACGAGCTCTTTAAAGAACCCAGATGCAACATCGACATACGTTTCAACCAATTAATCCTTTTTTGACATAGGCAACCTATTAAAACATAACCAAATACACAATCCCTAGACAAAAGTATTTGTTCACATGATTACACTAATTAGTAAAAAATCTACATAACGTACGTACTTTCATGTATCAAGCAAGGTTAATAAAAAAAAAAGAACTAAAATTCAAATAAAAATTTGAACATTTATTTTCACGTTTTTTAAAAATTTACATACAGTAAATAAAACATTGTATAAATAAAGGCTATTGTTTTAAAGAATGAAATTTTGTATTTCTATCTAGAAAATTAGTGATTAAAAAAATGGCAATAACATCTAAATCGCAATCAATAGAAACTTCTTAATTAACAGTAATCAAAAGAAAAAGATTTTGGGCCTTAATCTAAGTAGAGCCTCCATAATAAAAATTTCTGAAAATTATATACTGTATAGCACTGTCCAGTATATAATCACTTATTATTCTAGACAAAAAAATCAGAAAAAAAATAGTAAAAAAAAAAAATAATTGTGCTTCTGCTGACCAGACACAGAAGAAATTCATCAAGTGAGTGGTGTTGAGATTTCTACAAGAACAATTTGTAGAAATCTCCATGAACTTGGATTTATTCACGAATTGCTTGGTAAAATTTCTATTGTCTTAAAAACAAAGGACAAAGAGACTATGGGATGTCAGAAAGTGAAACCATAATGAAT